AGCCTTGCTTTCATTTGCACAAGAAAATGGATTCCCCATACATTAAATGTTGATTTTAGTCTCTAAAATACTTTTGGTTCCTAGTTTATTATCAAGATATTGTTAAAGATAGTAAAAAATAAAAATCCTACAACGAACACAGTATTTATTAACAAATGAAGTCTCGATATTTGATTCTAGCCTTGCTTTCATTTGCACAAGAAAATGGATTCCCATACGGTTAAATGTTGATTTTAGTCTCTAATTTTGCATTTTAAATACTTTTGGTTCTTAATTTATTATCAATATTTTTTTAATCTCTCAACTTTATAAATTACATTTTTTTTCTGCTTTTCTATCAATTAAATGATAATTTAACTGTTAACTCAATTTAAAAATGACATTTTTTTTTTGATAACGTGACAATGTGACACATTATTAAATTAGTGTATACGGCTCATGGGGGCTGAAAAATGTTTATAGTGGGGAAGAAATTTGAGAAGAAAGAAGTAAATTTTACTGGTCTTTTTGAAAGTTTTTTATTTTAATTTTTAAAGATATTTGATTGGTGGATAATTTTTATTTTTTAATCTATTATTTTAATCATTTAAGCTAAAATTAGAAACATAAGTGTCACATATTTTGTCTAACTAAATTAAGGAATTCATTTATAAAGAACATGTCATCAAAATTTAATGAAAAAAAAATTTAATTAAATTAGAAGTCATATCATCACTTAATTGACAAAAAGACAAAAAAAAAAAGTATAAGTTGTAGAGTTCAAGAACCAAAAACTTATTAAAAATAATTTGAAAACCAAAAGCGTTCAAAATACAAAATTTAGGATCCAAAACTGGCATAACATTCACCCCCACAATCTTACCTTCAATCGCACGTGAGAAAAGTGCAATTACTTGAATAAAAATAAAAAAATTTTAATAAAAAAAACAAATTTAGTTTACTGAATAACTAAATTATTTTATTTCATTAATAAATCAAGTCACAAGCCCTTTCCTACCACAAATTCCATCAAGTCACAGCCACTTTCCGATTATAATCTCCCCCCTCCTCCAGTGCAGATGATATGCTGTCCGCTATAATTTCAATATATTCACTGCATGGTGTACAAAGCATGATCCATTAATTGTCCTCTTCAAATTTTCAACAACCATGTTTAACTAGAAACTCTTGCAAGAGAGTACTCAACTGTAAATCAAATGGTGCCTACCCTTTGGTTTCCACTGCAGATGTAAATGAATGATAGCCCGGACTGCATCTTCCGTGATGGGTATGAATTAGTTTAGTTCATAACACAAAAGGGCCACCAAAATTAAAAGACAATGATTATAGTGGAAACTCCCACTGATGGACGTCAAGATTCCTGGAATCACAAGCTCCCAACAGGTCATTCCTAGATGCACAGCTGCAAGAGAAAAAAGAAAAAGATATAAATCTAATGTGAACACTCCGTTTCTCATCTTCTCTTTTAAAACAAACCCAGGAACCTCTAATTCACGAACTCATCTTAATGAAATTCTTAGGTATTTCCAGGCATTATCAGACTTGGGATTCATTGTGAGTGCCCGGACATAGTACTGGATTGATTCCTCATACATACCCTAGATGAAAAAGAGAAAGGAAACTAATCAGATCAAACTGTAGATTTCCATTCAAGGAAAACAGATAAAATAATAAGATTAAGAAATCGACATAATCATGTCAAAAAGAATGAGGAGTCAATTGCTTGTTTAGGCTATTCTTTTCACAATGATCTTCTCTTGTACTCGCTGTATGGCAACTCCAACAGCAATTGGTTTTTATGGAATTGATTGTCTTATTATTCTAGGCATAAATGATAAAATATATTAGCTTCATCGCATTTAAGAATCTAGTATCTACAATGTGGAATGCTACTTGATTTCACATTTCACTTATGCATTGTTTATATAACCAACAAGAAGCCAACTAATAACATATACGAGGGGAAGAATGTCAGTGTTCATGCACTCCAGAACAGTCATCATAATGTACTTGGATTATTTTGGCAACTAAGAGTTTCTGTAATGAAACCCTTTCTACAGAGTAGATTTTAGTTACGCTACAAAAACACCACAAAAAACGTCCAACTATAAGCTTTAAACATTCTATAGCCTTTGTTACCTTTCTACATAAATCTTCAAAAAGACCTGTGCATCGTGGTCAATGATACAATCATGTAAAAACCAATTTCTTTCCCTTTTATTTTAGCATTAGAAGGTTTTTGGGCCCACACGTGGCTTACAAACCATGGATAAATTAAAATTCATTCACAATAACTACCATTCCAGAAATATTAAAGAGCAACACATACAGGTGCAATCCAGCGATTGCCAAAAGACAGCAGTGACTTCACTAGAGCAAAGCATGAGAAAAAACCTGGTTTGCATAACTGATACCCATGTTTGCCCAAGCATGAACGCAATTAGGCTTCAAATCTAGTGCCTGAAGATAGAGAGAAAAGGCTAAGTTGGGACTTCAGAAAATAAAGATTAAAAGAGATGTGGAAGTTGCTAACTGAATACACTGATGCAAACAAACGACTTCACAATCATAAAACCCCCCCGTCCAGCCTACAAGACAAAAGGTAAATAACTCTAGAATTGAAACAACTTTGTGCTCAGCATCTAATTAATTTGGCATAAAACACAGTAGAATAAACTAATCTTCTATACTGTAAAAGGGTAATGATGTAGGAACTACCTGTTGATAGGCCAATATTGCTTCAGTACTATGCACACTGTTTGCTTGTGTTGCACCAAGCTTGTTCCAGAGGGAGTGGTCATTTGGTTTGAGTTTCAAGGCTGTCTTGAAAGATGCAATAGCCTTATCATATTCCCTTGACAAATTATATAGGACACCAAGTTCTATGTGGACGTCAGCATCCTCAGGTGACATTTGAGCAGCTTCATTGAATAATCTAGCAATCTGCAAACCAATTCCCCAAAATGGAATTTGTTGGGAACCTTAGAAAATGAAACACAACCTAATAATAGCTTAATTTAAGGGAAAACAGAATTAAATGTGAACCACAAGAAAAAAGGTCCATGATTCTTACAAAAGTAAACATTCATTTGACCTTCCCTTGATTTTATCAAGGAAGAGGAAGAAGAATAATTTTGTCTACTTGGAAATTATCTACTCAATCATGATCTTTTAATCCACAGAACTTAGCATCTATGGTTCAAACTTTAGCAACCATGATCACCTAAATGAATCAGTATAATCTATCGTAAAGAACATTTTCAATTCTAACTCGCTAGGATGGCAGGGTCCACAGAAATCAAAGGTTGCAGATTGCATTATCAAGGAGAGGGAAGCACAGTTTGAAGACAAATTTTGGAGCCTGCATTGAGCCTACCATGATAGCCAGACAAATTATTATTTTAAGCTAAAGCAGGCTAACAGGAAGACAGCATAGAACTTATGGAAAGCAAAAACATGCACAAACCTATCAGTGAATTTCATACTTCAATCAAATAATTTTTATAAAATTCAATATTATCCAATAACATCATAATTTTGGGGCCAAATGTTCCAATTGACCAGCTGGCCAACAAAAAAGAAAAAACATTCCAATTGCCCCCACAAGTTTCTGCAAAGAACCTTCTCAAAACAGTTAGAATGGCATTATTGTTGAGTAAAAAGGAGAGAGAAATGGTTCTGCCTAAAGTGCACTTACATCAGCATAATACAATGATTCAGAGAGCTCGTGTTGTGAGAGTCCCACACTTTGGGTGATGGCATAACCATCAATATGGATACTTCAAAGCAGTTGTCTGCTCCAACCCTAATTTAAAGAAAAAAAAATGAAAAAATAAAAATATTTTACAACCTAATAACCTTCATACATAATGATCAAGAAATTGAACACACCATCACAATGAAGAGAAGAATCTCATCAGGGAGTAAATGAGATAACCATTGTCCAGAAAGCATTTTGAATAAGACTAGTATAAAAAATGGGTAAATAGTTGGAAAAGCAATCACTTACCATTTGTATGGCTCACACCAAGAGCAAGAAGCACCTCCAGAATTGTAGGATCAGCTTCCTGTGCATGCAACATTGATGCAATGGCCTGCATGGATATATCAATCAAATGTATTGTATGTGATTCCATTCAGCAGGTCAAAATTCTATGTTAGGTTCTCTTTGTATTTTTATGATGATTTAAAACCATGATTCAAAAGAGTTTAATTTATTTTTGTGCTAAGTGTGCAGGAAAGTTAATTTAAGGATTCTAATCTTTCCCCACGATTAGAATTGATTCATGTTCCCCTTGTTCAGAGTTCTGGGTTCGAATCAATTTAATTTGATTCGAACCAATCTCGAACTTTTTTTTTTCGAAAATGGTTCGAAACATTATTTCTGGCTTCGAAGCAAAAATTCTGAAAGGTTAAATTTTGACAGCTCAACTATCCGTTTATTCTTATTCTTAATGGGCCTTAGGGGAACTAATTGTCTGAGCACTTTCCAACGTCAAGTCAGAGTTAGTAGAATAAGGTAGAATCTAATTGGAGCATTAGTGAGGTGGCTTTGAAGGGCTAAATGGAATTTAATTGCAAGGCTCCAAACCTACTATTAATAAGATCATAAAATCATATCTGGAAATGAATGAAGAAGAACGAACTACTCCAGTGATACAGAAAAACAGAGTTTGTTTTTGAAATTGTTTTGGATCTTCTTCTTTTTCTTCTTATGAGTTTTCGAGTTAATTGTCTTACAAGGGTTTTGTATTCTTCTTGGATTAGGATAATCCTTGAAGGGGTTGAGTGAGTTGAAATTCACTTGTGAGGGTTTAATCTTGCACCCGCAAGCAAAAGTTTGTTCTGATTTAATCTTGTACCCGTAAGCAAGAGATTTCTAGTGGATTGAACTCTCGAGCAAGGAGGATTGGGAAGTGGACGTACTCTGGGTTGGAGGAACCACTATAAATCACGGCTTGATATTCTCTTCCCTCTTTTTTATTTTTCTGCACTATATTACTCTTTGTTTATTCTGCACAACAGCTTATAAATTGCAAACTTGATTTAAGTTTTTGAAAGAAAAAGAAACAAGTTTTTAAGTTTAAATTGATAAGACACAATTCACCCCCCTCTTGGGTAGCTAGCTGAGATTACAACTGGTATCAGAGTAGGTTCTCTTAGAAATAGATTTAACAATCTTGAGTAGATCTATGGCTTTCCAAGCTCATTTTGTTGAAGGTCATTCAATCACTAGGCCACCTTATTTTGATGGAACAAATTATCAATATTGGAAAAAGAGGATGCAAATTTGGTTAGAAGCAAATAGTTATGAGATGTGGGATTGTATTGCTAGAGGACCATACAAAATCTTAGTTAGTGACAAGGATAACCAACTTGTTCCTAAGGATCCTACATCATATGATCAAGCTGAAAAAAAGAAACTGCAGATAAATGCTCAAGCTAAAAATGCATTATGTTGTGCTTTACACCCTAGTGAATATGATAGAATTAGTGCATGTGATTCTGCTAAGGAAATGTGGGATAAATTACAAGTGGCTCATGAAGGAACTAATGAAGTCAAGAAATCAAAGATTAACATGTTGGTTCAAAAATATGAGCTGTTCAAAATGAAATCAAATAAAGAAATTAAAGACATGTTTACTCGTTTTATTGAAATCACTAATGAATTAAAGCTTTTTGATAGGGTGCTTCCTAAGGAAGATAAGGTCAGAAAAATTCTTCGCTCCTTGCCAAAATCCTGGAGTTCAATCAAGACGACAATAGAAGAAACTCATGATTTAAGTGCCATGATTGTTGAGATGCTACAAGGGAAGCTTCTTACACATGAAATGGCCATGAAAAATGATGAAAGTGATGATGATTCTCGAAAGAAGAAATCTGTAGCTTTCAAAAGCTCCTCCAAAGATGAAAGTGACAGTGATGAAGAGGATGATGAAGAATTTATAGTGCTTGCTCGAAAGTTTAAGAGTTTCCTAAGGAAAGACAAGCTAAAGAATCAAGGACAACAAAAGAAAAACTACAAAAGCAATAAAAGAAAGGGAGAAAGCAGTAAAAAGGATGAAATTATTGCTATAAATGCAAGAAGGCTGGACATATTAAATCTGAGTGTCCAAACAATGATGAAAAGAGTCTAAAAGCCAAAAAGAAAAAGAAGGCAATGATTGCCACATGGAGTTGCAGTGAGGACTCATCTTCTAGTAAAGAAGTAAGTGACATGGAAGCTCATATTTGTCTCATGGCAAATGATGACACAGATGAGATAAATTCCATTTCTTCTTCTATTTTTGATCATGCTAGTGATGATGAAATGCCATATGAAGATTTGCAAGATGCATTTAG